CGAGTTTAATACCAACCCACGTGATTTTTGTTTTTTCGTCTGACATATTGGATTCGCCATTTTGAATTTTCAAAAATGGATTATAAATTCATAATCAGATACCCCAAAAACCACCGAGTTTTCAAGTTTCAAGCAAAATAAAGCAAAGAATGACTTTACTTCATTATTTATTGTAGAATTGTTCATAACAATAAATTTATAATTATTAGAAACACTTAAAAAACTAAATATGTTTATTTTATTTTTAATAAAAAAATATTCTTTTTTTAATTACATTATTTTTCACACTTTTTCAATAAATAAACAATAATAATAATTTTGAAAAATGACGATCAAGATGTTAAGAATTTTATCACCTTTAAGAGAAGTCACTATCTTCATTTTGAGTCCTTTAAATTTTAATAATCGCAGGAATTTGTATTTTGGTTTGACATCGTTTGGGTTCAAAAAGCGGTGGTGGTCTAAAAAAAATAATTTTTTTTCATCGTCAAATTTTTTCCACACTTTTTTGATAATTTTTTAGAATCTCTCGCATGGATTTTCAAAAATATTAATTTTTTCAAAAAATTAAAATTCTAAAATGATCAAAAATATAAATTTTCTTTTTTTGCCCACCTTATATGTTTTAGAACCCAATTGATGCAAGAAAAAAATAACCTCGTTTAATAATTTAGATTTAAGTGGGTCAAAATAATGGTGGTGACTCCCATTAATTCAAGACAAGAAATTTTAAAATCGGTCAAGATTTGTAGGCTTTAGACTGTTTTTATCGAAAAATAAGCTTTTTCTCCCACTGTGGAACACTCGTTCGTCGGTTGACGGGAGAAAGATGACAATTCAGGTAAGTTTTGAAAAACATGCCATTTCAGCAGAAATGTGAAAAACATGACATTTCAAATGTTAAATTATTTTGTGCATTTTAGACGAAAAGAAATAAAATAAAAAACAAAAAGTATTATAACTTATATTCTGATGTCCCTTATTGAATGTTCAAGATTAATTTTACAGAATAATTACTAACATTAATCGCAGTGATGTCACAGTACTTTTAATTTGAAATAACCAAAAAGTTTGACGCATCTGAAAAGGCATGTTTTTCAAATCTTTGCTGAAATGGCATGTTGTTCAAAACTTACCTGAATTGTCATCTTTCTCCCCTCAACCGACGCGTTGTCGGCAATGGCGAGTCCTTGTTTTTTATATTTAATAAAATACTACATTTCATAATAACTTTAATATAGTTTTTATATGTTTTGTCGGCAATACTTTTCATAATGATAACCAAAAAATTGCGAAAAATATTTTTAAACAATCGGAAATGACGTAAACAGTTCTTTCAATTTATTTTTTAGGTCGGAAAAAATCTCAAATAATCGAAAAATGCCACAAAAGAGTGCCTTGAATCGTTACAAAAAGTAGTAAAAGTCATTATAATTTAAAAAAATGTCTCCGATCAATCGCAAAATTTTATGGTGTTAGCAAATCAAGTCTTTTCTGATACACTCAGGCAGTGCATCATGCGAAAATCAATCAAGTTAAGTGTTCCTAAACAAACGCTCTCAGTTAGTGAGCGAGTGAACTAAATCCAGTTACCTGGATTTGGTTTTCACCATAGGTAGATGTTTTCCTTGTTTGGAGATAACGGTAACTGGAGACTGCTTTGGTTCAGACCATGCGCTAGTGACTTTTAAGATATCCAAAGTACCTGCTTATTGCAGGTTGAAGAACTTGAGAATGGGGGGGATCGTGTTCCCGGATTCATGAGCAATTTGTTTCTTTTCTGATGGATGCGATTCAGTCTGCTAAGGGCTTTTCACCTTCCAGTGCGTATTTTGGATCTAGGGTCCAACTACTGTGGTGGGATCTAGAATGCGACGAGGCTATTTAAACAAGGAGAGCAGCTAACAGAGCCTTTTGGCTGGAACAAACACGGGATTTATAAAGGATGACGAAGAGAATTAACCAGGATGTTAAAAGGTTTATTTGGACTAAGAGGGATTCATTTTGAGACATGTGCAATAAGATGACTTCCTCCATGGGCATTGATAAGGTGTGGTCTCTGGTAGAATCACACTTGTCTAGAACTAAGGCAACTCAGATGACTAATTCGATTTTTGATAGTCGCGAGGTGATTCGCCTACAAAATGAACTCGTCTGTGAGGTTCTATTATTCCGAGGGTACTTTCGTTTGATGAGGGGGGCCCAATGAATCAGCCGTTTTCTATCGAAGAATTTATTTTTGTTGTACCTAACAAGAAGGCAGCTCCAGAATTGGACTTTGTGTCCTATGAATGGATCAGTGCTCTATTTCGTACGGCTAAGAGGTTCTGTTTGGCTCTGTTTAATCGAATGTTCCGAACATCATATTATCCGGAGCAGTGTCACAGGATTAGGATTATGTTTACTCCCAAACCTGGTAAAAAGGGTTTTCTTTAAACAGGGCCAATGCTCCTTCGCTTTGGACATCGCTATCAAAGAAGCATTCAACAATGTAGGACCGGAGATACTTGCGATGCTTCTTAGAAATTATCAGGAACCTGGATAGGTGGCTAACTTTGTATCATTTATCATAGAAAGGAAATATCTACACTTTTTTGATTCTACGGATGGTAGGAAGTCGGCTGTTGGAGTTTCATAGGATGGGGTTTTATCCCCCCTACTCTTTAATTATTATCTCTTAGAATTGAGATTTGTTTTACCTCCAGAAGTTGGACCTTCTCAATATGCAGATGATCTGTTGCTGTGAGCTAGAGCAGAATTTGTACTGGAGACCTTAAGAATCTTGAAGGAGGCTAAACCTCGTGGTTGAGAATCTCAACTTTAAAATGTGCTTTCACCCTATTCGCGTCTAAGGATGTTCCACACGGAGAGAAAAAAAGTTCCAACTGCTTTCTTTTAAGTCGTCATGTTGATCTTATAAAGTCAAGTAGTTATAACCAGGGAGCCAGGCTGTTTTTACTTGGGTCTTTAATTGCTTTTATTGGTGTTCTCAGGCGATACCGACCAAGCTTTTCCCTGCTCAATTGATACTACTTGAGACAGCCAAGCAAAAACTGCCTGGCTACCAAATTGTACTGACTTGTGTATCGGTACTTGCGTTCACGCCTGCGTCGGTCAAGTAGTTTCAACCGGAGTCTCCGGTTGTTGCAACCTAATTTTTCTCTCCGTGAATGTGAGGATTTATCCTAGGAGATTGAAGGAACAACTGTTAACTGCACTAAGGAGATGACTTATTTGAGAGTTATTTTGAATTCATTACTAATCTGTAACTCACATATAAAACTAAACATCCTTAATGAGGCCAAGGCTATAAATAGCTATGGATCTCCTACTATTATCTGGCGTCATGCCGATAACCTAAAGAGAAATATACTTATTTTTGAAGTTCAGTTACAATCTTGTAAGCCTTAAGGAGAAGAAGAAAAAATTTAAATGAATTTTTTTAAATAAGACATTGCATTATTTAAACTCCTGTTCCTCTTACAATTAGACAACAAATAAGTTCAACAGTGAAATATAGAAGATTGAAATCAAATATAATCAAGGAAAAAATTTGATATATCAGACCAAAGGTTTAAAAGTGAAAAGTATTGTGTCAATTTGTCGAGATATTATAGTCTGTTTATTTTCGTTTGATTATTTTGAAGGTGAGAGCAAAAATCCCTATTGGCGATTCAAACAGTTCAAGCAGCGCCACTGCGATCGCTCAGAATTTGAACTAATATAATCGTAACAGCTGATGTATCAAACACATGGTTGAAAACGTTTAAATTAAATATTGGAGAAAGTAGTAACAGTTCTTTCGTTTTTTCTGTGAAATGGCTTTTTTAATAGAGCTGGAACATTTATTTGAAGCTGTAAATAGCTTTGTCCGTCCACTCAGAGAAGGATGAGAGACAATAAATAATTAAATTTACTTAGGTGTAGATCTTTCACTAAAAGTTTAAAATTATTTTGTTGAATAAATAATTTACTACATTGTTGAGTCCCAAGTTTTCAATTTTATTATTTATTTTATTCTTTCGTTTATTTTCTCTAAACGTGACGATTTAGATATCTTTAGGATTATCTTTTTATCGCTGTTTATTTTTTTACAATATGTATGTCCGACATCTGCTTAGGTACAGTTTATACAACTACAAAACAAATTACTCGTCGAGGCTATTAGAAATTAAAACATCCCTTCCATGTCAAGTGACATCCCCTCCCTTCCAAATTGACATCCCTTCTCCAATTATTTTTTGCGTTGCCTACTCAACTAAAATCTTGACCTAAGTCAGATAATTTGCGATCTCCAAACAATTAATACAGATCTTTATACAACTCAATAATGTATCAGTTCACAAGCTATGTTCTTTATAATTAAATATATATGATTTATATTAAATATGAATTTCACTGTTTATTTAATTTGATGACAACCTCAGCCTAAAATCAATCTTAAATCAATTCCTCGAATTAACGAAAAAATTCGAGTCAGCAATTGATCAATCAACATACATTTATTCACCGAAATATACAAAAAGTATTAAAAAATTGCAGTAAACAAATCGAAACATACACCATCTGTAACGATTATATTTGTTCAACCTCTGACCAACAGTGGCGCTACTTGAACTGTTTGAATCGTTAATTATATTGCTGGGAATTGCAACCAATAATAATAATTTACCAGAGAACAAATTTAAATGCTAAATTTTTGTTTCTAAGATGGTTCTTATATCGTGTAATTTATACAATTATTTTGAGATAAGAAAATTGAATCCTTCCTGATTTTCAAGATTTCAGCGTTATGACAAATTTTAATATTAACACAAAAAAATTATAATCGATGATAATCTCAAACATATATTTTAAAAATATTTTTCGTTTGTATATTTTCATTAAAGACATGTCTTAAAAGGTACTTGAAAAACTAAAATACTTCTTTAAAATATCTTGATTTACATGAAAGGTAACTATAAATTATACAATCTCACAGTGTCATCAAATTTGCTTACTAAATTGTGCAGCATGGTCCTCCTTATGGTAATGGAGATTCTCTTTTCTTATACTCACAGTCAGTTTAATTAATATGTACTGTACCATAATGAACGTCTTATAGAAAGTTTACTATACCTGGAAAAAGAAGAAAATTATTTTTGAAATATTTAAAAAAAAATTTTATGTTACGAATATTATATTGAAATTAGGTACACATATAATTTTTTTTACTAGTTTTCAATATTTTTAAAAGATTTAATTGCAAATAAACAATTTTTAAAATTTTTGACCGACATATTTGGTCGGACATTTCAAATTTTGAAAATCTGACATCAGATTGGTAATCGGATGTCGTAAACCCCCGGATGTATCATAAAAAAGTAAACATTTTTAAAATGTATTTCATTATCTTCCATTTAAGGGTTGTTTCGATTGGTGGATGTATTATTGGACTTGCAGCCTCGAAATCTGGAGTTCAAATCCTGGCGTTTTTAAATTTTCTCATTCAGAATTTTATTATAACTAAATTAAGAAAGAAGACAATTAAACTGTTACGTTATACTAATATTATAACTTCGAAAATAAAAATGTAATTGAATTAATTTGCCATGAATTGTATTCAACTGCTGTAATTCATTTCAGCCAAGATAGAATATATTTATTAGTTTTTTTCGTTCATTTATTAGTTAAATTTTAGAATATTTTGCAACTCCTTTTTATATGTAATGTTATAAATGTTTAAAGATTAAATCTTAGCACTTGCACACGGGAGTTTGGATCGATACACCCTGCTTCTCGAAAATATATCTTAACTACTCTTTCCTTTCACCATTGCTGTATTATTCTCTTCTGGTAGGTATTCCGCAGAAACATAAATTACTATTATAGACTTTGTCGTTATACTTCCATTCACGTACAAACGTCTCGATATCAACGACCACAGTTAGAAAAGAACATTTTTAATGACTGATATGAACTTCATTTGGAAACAGAAAATTATCCAGCTAGAATTGTGAAAAAATTCAAAAATTGAAATAAACATAACTTTTTTTGAAAATAAATATCCCATAAAAATTTTAATCACGCAGTTTTAAAAATGATGCCTAGTATTAAATTGACTCTATTTTTTTTAAATATATTCTTAAAAGAAAAATTAAAACCTCAATTAAGTACTTTATGGCACACCAATATTCAGGGGGTCGATTATATGTAATTATTCTACTTTTTCCATTCCGAATTTCATTTATTACTTTCCGCATTCAGCTTTTCACATTCCTTATTCCGAAATCCACATTTCATATTCCAGATTCCGCATTACACATTAATCTGAAATTTTTGTTGGTTTGGACATCCCTAGAGCTTCTTCAAAAAAACGTAACATTAGCGATTTATTCTAAAAATTCAAGTATTTCAAAAATTTATTGGATTAGGCGGAATGACTTAACTTCGTTATTTTAAGGTCACTGATATAGAACCTGACTCATAAATTGAATAATTTGAAATGGTGAATTTCTTTAAATTCTTCGAATTAGATTAAACTTGTTTTTTCAGGATCGCTGATTACGAATAAGATGTCAGTATTTGGCTTAAAATGTCATACCCAATAAGGGTTAAAAGTTTTTAAAAATCGATTAGAGTAACTTAAAACTCGTTGGACAGCAATCCCATGACAACGTTTTGCAGCCATACTCAGGGGTTTTTTGGGTCGTCGATTACGATTCCAAAGTTAACCAAAAGATTTAGAAAAGGGTCAAACCATTATATTTCAAATAAAGTCGTTGCTGACTAATTTATAAAAATTATAATACTTTGCAGGAATGATTTTGAAGTTATCAAGATCACGAAATGAAAAGAATTTTATTAAAAATTTAATTATTTATTGTAAAATAAGAATTTAAAGTATATGAGGTGCTGAAAATTGTCAATTTTTTAGCCATTAGAAAAAATGCAAAAAACATAGAATTTACCATAAAAATAAAAAAAAATTATTGGAATTTACTAAGAATGAATAAATTTATCATTATGAATTGATATAATTATTTAAAGATGTGAAATAATATATAAAATATACTTTTCAAAATGCACCTGTCAAATAACCTAATTTTGCGATTTTTATTCATTAATTATGAAAAATAGAAAACATTAAATTAAATAAAAACTTACCAAATATAAAGTTCTTGCCATAAACTTTTAGAATTTCTTTGCACTTTTCTTATCTTTTCTTCATAAGTATAAAAAAATTTTAAAATAAAATAGCCCATTGGTTCATTTTCACTATTTTTAAAAGTCAATAACTTTCTTAGAGAAAAATGAAAAAATATTCGCTATGGTCCCAAAGCTATTTTCGAAGATAAAGCGGATTAAAAATTTCTTATTTTTTAGGCAATATTGACATGGGTTTTCAAGGTTTTAAACCAATGTGAAGGTGGTTCACTGCTTACGACAAACTTCTCATTGATTTAAAACCTTGAAAACCCATGTCAATATAGCCTAAAAAATAAGAAATTTTTAATTTGCTTTATCTTTGAAAATAGCTTCGGGACCAACACGAAATTTTCAGTAAATGTATATTTAGTGTGTATTTAAATAATTTTCGAAACCCCATATTTTTTCATTTTTCTTCAAGAAAGTTATTGACTTTCAAAAATAGTGAAAATGAACAAAGTGGCTATTTGAAATATAATGGTTTGACCCAAAATATATTATATTCATGATTTGCAAACAGAAATTATGAGAATTTTAATGCAGGATTTACGATTAGAATTTATTAACAATCTCTCCACGAATGATTACTACAACCGATGAAAAGTAACAAAAAATATTTTCTTCTGACTAAAAATTTCTAGTTCAAAGTATTGTTCAAGTATACAGGTTTTAAAAGTTAGTTCTAGGGAATCACGAAATTTTTTTTTTGAAAATCAGTGACTACCTGAGATAGTTAAAAAATGTATACATACAACGTTATTCGTCTAACTACTTACATAAATAATATAAATTTTTTAAAAATTGAAAATTTTAAACATTTTTAAATATTCATTAATGTCTACATTAAACACACGCGCTCAAACGCCTTATCGTTTTCGTAATGGAAGAAGCTTGTGCATCTTAAATCTTTTATTTTAACAATGAAACTTCCTGTCATTTTTCCGCTCATAAAATCTCCACCAGCAGAAGACGTCTTTATTTCTCTGAGCTCGCACAAATTCTATAAGAAAAGGAATCATAAAATGGAGCAACATAGTTGCATTTCTTAAATTAAGCAGTGGAAAATTTAGTACTATGCTGGAAATTAACTCTGTAAAGTGCTAATGAAATTTCGTTCAAATGCATTTATAAAGAATTTCATTTCATGTAACCTAAGTGAAAGAAAATTTGTTCCTATTGCTCTGAAACTAGAGAAATGGCAATTTCTAAAAAAAAAATTCTTTTAGACGAATATTTAATGTCAAGAAGAGAGTAAAATATTTTACCTTTGCGTGAATACAGTCACATTCTTTTATTTCGATTAAATTAAAAATGTTTTTGTACACAAAGTGTACATAAAAAGAATCTTTACGAAAAATTCAACTGCAGACAAACCTTCGAAAAGAGCGGTTCCGCCTAAGATCGTTTATACGTAAGAATGCAAACCTACAGAAGTTTAAGTTTATCTAACATGTAAACTATGAGTTCCAGCCGCTTTTCACTAACACAAAAAAACAAAAATTTTAAAAAGTAAGAGTCATTTAAAAAAACAAATAAATTTCCCAGCAAACACGTTCTGTAATTGTTCTATTAAAATTAAAGAACATTGTTCTAGAACAATTGTGCCATCAATAACATGTAGCATTTATAGAACCAAATGGTAACAGTGTTCTAGAACAATGTTCCTAATATGTTACATAACTGGTCTATTTTTTTGTTCCAGAACTGTTCTTAGATATAAGTTCCATAAGTGTTATAGAACATTTAAATCACAAATGTTCTAGAAATTTTGTACTTTTTTTTCTAGAATTGTGATATAACAATATTATGTCACCTTTCTAGAACAACATTCTCTTTTTATTATAGAATAAATCCGGAAATTTGTTCTTAAATTATTCTGTAACAAATGTTCTATAACAGTTCTAAAACATAGATGTCACAAGTGTTGTAAAAATTTTGTCCCGCTTCTGCTCTAGAACTGTGCTGAAAGACTATTACATGACATTTCTAGAACAGAATGCTTGTCTTATTCTAGAAATTATTACTAACTATCTGTTCTACAATTATAACATTATGTCAAATTTACAAATGTTCTGTAATACTTCAGTCACAAATGTCATTAAATGTTTGATCCTTTTTGTTGTAAGATTCCTATTAGAATTTTTTTCATTAATAATGCATTGCAATGTAATTTTGTCAATTTTTATGCCAACATCAATTTTTTAATATTTGAATATTATATAACATAGAATTTCAATAATATTCGATATTGAAACTTGACCGAAACATAAATTATTTGATTTTCAACAAAGAATTAATATACAGTTTGCTCAAATCTATATAGTAGGGGAGAGTAGTCAGGGTTGGACAGTGGTCAGGGTTGAACCATCGCGTTTATTTTGTTTTATCAGACTAGATCCAACTGTCTCTGTTATTATTTGTTAGCAATGTCAGCGAACTTTTTACATACGTTGCAGTGAAGTGTGTGAATAATAAAGACGTATTATGCAAGTCAGTGCTGTACGCTCAACAAAAAACTTCTTTCTTGTTTCAAAAGAAGACAATTAAGTGCAGAAAAAATATGTCAAAGACAAAGTAACTTGACTAAAATAGTTCATTAAGATGTTATATGAAAATGTGGAACGTAATATGGTGTTTGGATCACGCGTTTATTTTTGTGTGTGATGTGACGCTAAACGACGCGTGAGTCAGGGTTGAGCCACCAAAAAATTTTGCAATTATGAAGGGTTCTTGCAATGGAAATTCATTTGTCGACTTAAAGAGGTGTCAAAAACTTCATTTCCATTCCATTCCTTTACACGTTTCCAAATGTATTTGAATGCCATTCTATCATTTGAAGGTCATTATTAATCATTTATCTACATATTTCATTGATTTTCTACAGTGACTACCTGTTTCAACCTTTTTTTTTTTTATTGACTATAACTCCG